AATATGAATTTCATTGTTACCAACTGAGACAAGAAAAGGCATATCGGGTGGTATTGAGAGGCTTGCACTCAACCACTCCCATATTCGTTATCAAATCTGATCTAGAGGAAATGGGGCATAACGTTAGGCATATAGCATGCGTCCTACATCCAACGCAAAAATATCCATTGCCACTGTTTTTCGTTGATTTGGAGCCTGCAAGCAATAACATTGACATATTTCAAGTTAAGAGGCTTGTGTATTCCACAGTAAAATTCGAAGAGCCTAGACAAAAACCTATCATAGTTCAATGCCCCAAGTGTCAAGACTTGGGGCACACAAAGACCTATTGCCATTATCAAGCGAGGTGCGTTAGATGTGCCGGGCCACACGCCTCTAACACTTGTCAGATCCCTCGAGACCAGCCTCCTAAATATGCTCTCTGTGGCGAAGACCATCCTGCAAGCTATAAAGGATGCATAGTATATAAAAAATACTACAAGTTAAGAACTCATAACATAGCCTTAAAGCGCAGCCAACTAAATAAAGAAACTTACACCCAGCCACCAGAAATTGATATTACAAATTTACCTGAGTTGCCAAAACAAACTACCCATTCAACACAACAAGAACCAACTACTTCAACTGAAATCGCCCATCCTCAACAGGACTCTAGCAAAACTAGCACCCATACCACCATCAAGAAGCAGCAGCCTCGACGCCAGGCGCCTCAGGCCTCCCAAGCTAAACCTCATACTCCCAATCCTCTCATATTTCATCCTCCGCGTCAGCAAATTTCCCCTCATCATCTACCTCTACGAGTCAAATTACCGCCACAGCAATCGCACCCATCTCATCCTAATGTCCAGAAAAAAAACCCAGCACAAGTATCGTCGAATCCAGACCCACCTCGTACACAACAACGAATCCCACTCTCAGTTAACACTCCTTACCCGCCACCTGAACCTATCCTAAATCCACTTCACAATCAACATCCATCTGATCTAACTTCCATTCTATCATCCTTCCTATTGGACCTCCAAAACATCATAAAACCTCTTATCACTCTACTAACCAGAATCCTGACCGAAATTCCGTTTAATTTCCCTCGATGAGCACAAAGCCCCTAACTATCCTTTTATGGAATGCTAACGGACTACACAACCACCGTGACGAACTTGACATATTTCTTCATGACAATCACATTGATATAGCTCTACTGACTGAAACGCATTTCACAAAACGGACACATTTTCACATACGAGACTACATCACTTATAGATCTGACCATCCAGACAACACTGCCCACGCCGGTTCTTGCATCCTTATACATAAATCTTTACTCCATTCCCTTATTCCTTCTACTCCAACTGACGCCATTCAATCAACTTCTGTAATCCTTTCAACTCGCCCTTTCCATTTCACAGTCTCAGCTGTATACTGTCCTTCTGGTAATTCCCTCTCCTTTAATCTCCTTGATACGTTGTTCCATTTCCTCGGATCGCGCTTTATTGCTGGAGGAGATTACAATGCTAAACACCAACGATGGGGTTGTCGAACATCCAATTCCCGCGGTAAAATCCTATCTCATGTCTCATCTTCTAATAGTTATTCTATCCTCTCGCCCATGAATCCAACATATTGGCCAACATCCCTTAAAAAACGTCCAAATATCCTAGATATATTTATCACCTCCCAGATTTCCTCCTCCCAAACTATAATCAAATCCCTGGATGACCTTTCTTCAGACCATAGTCCAGTTCTGCTTTCACTACATTCTGACTTTGCTCCCAAACCATCACCTCCTAAACTGATCACTGGACGAGTAAACTGGGACAAATTTCGTGAAGATTTGGGAAACAAACTAGATCTCAGAATTCCGCTAAAGACAAAAGAAGACATTAATGGTGCCATAGAAAAACTGACATCATCAATAACAGATAGTATAAATAATAACACATTTATCAATAAGATTAACAACCCACAAAATACTAACTTGCCACAGCATATTCGTATCTTATTAAAGGAAAAACGCAGAGCAAGATCGAAGTGGCATAGGACTAGATACCCAACAGATAAAGCGCATTACACCACACTGACTAACAAACTGAAATCAGAAATTAGAAAATTCAAAATTCAAAATTTACTAAATTTTACTGAAAAACTTACACCAAGCGATAAATCACTACGGACGACCACTAAAAGGCTCCTGAAATTTAAAGACTGCAACCATCCACTACTCACTGAAGCCCAAACCATTGCATCCCAAACTCTTCAATCGCACATCACAAAACTGGAGGATTAAAATAAATTCTAATAAATCCCATGTAATAAATAAATAAATCCCAATGTCATCCTACCTCACTATAACCAATGTCCAACAGACAGATTGTTATAATACTCAATAAAGAAATTAAAAAAAAAAAAAAATAAAAAAAATAAATAAATAAATCCCATCAAATCACCTTTACCCTTCGACGTAAACCTATGACCTCATGTCCCACAGCATCCTTTAATAATACCCCACTTATCCCTGTTGAACAAATCCGATACCTTGGACTTCACTTGGACAAACGTCTAACTTGGAATCCTCATACCAGACTGAAACGACAAGAAACCGCTCGACGTTTCCGACTACTCCAACACTTACTAGACAAACGCTCTAAGCTTCCAGAAAAATTACAAATTACAAAAGACTTATATACATGACTACAATAAGACCTATTTGGACTTACGGAGTTGAGCTTTGGGGCTCCACTAAGCCATCGAATTCCTCTCGTATCCAATCCTTACAATCCAAAATCCTTCGGAAAATCCTCAATGCTCCTTACTTTGTCACCAATAAAATAATCCATAATGACCTTAATGTTCCTTATGTTTCCGATTTGGCCCAATCCAGATACCAATCCTTCCATAATAAACTTCAGAACCATCCGAATCCTCTCGTCTCTAACCTTGCTTCCTCTTCTATTCCTGATAATCCTCCGAGGCGTACGAAAAGAAGATGGCCTCGAGATCTCTTATTGTAAATACATTTTGTTTTTAGAGTGCTACCAGTGGGTAGTTTCTCAACAAGTCATTTCATGTTATTATTTTCTGTTATCAAATTTACTTAATGTATTTAATTTTTTAATACAGTTGTAAATATCATGAATAAATAAAAAAAAAAGTATTGGCTGATGAACAAAACTCGTGGTTATCAAACTAGTATATGTCGAAGGATTACTGAATTTCCGAAAAAGGCTTTTCCCAGAAATTTTATTCTCATATGAAAAATTTTAGGACTTTTAATGTATATATTTTTTAGCCAATGCAAACGGCGAGGAAGCTATACTGACCCTTCTTGGCAGACGTTTTTATGTAAATCACGTTTTTTGTTGAATAGAAAGTGATAACTAAAAAACTATTTAATGTAAGTCATTATTGATTGCTTCACTGTAAGCTAGACAACATTTACTTTAAATAAAAATAAATTTTACTTTTGTTAAAACCATTTAAAGAGAACTTTTGAGCGGTTGTACTCAACTAAGGAGTGGGGTGACATGGGTAGTGGTTGAGGAACGGGTAGGGGTGGGGGAAGCTCATGGTACAAAGGTGCGCCCCTCCTCTTTGAGAAAATTCCTGGATCCTTCACTGACTAGAATTATGGAGGACAGCAAAATTTTCTATCTTTAAACGCATCCAATCCTTCCAATCCAAAGTCCTTCGAACAATAGTCAATGCTCCTTTCGAAGTAACCACCAAAACCCTACACCATGACTTCAACATCCCATTTCTTTTAACCTCATCTCACCACCTATTTCACCAGAATTTTACATATCATCTAAATTCTCTTACACAACCCTTATCATGCGCCACCCATCCCTATAATCCTCCAAGAAGGTTAAAATGGTAGTGGCTCCGTGACCATTTATAGTTTTTGTATATTTGAATTCTGGCTATAGTCAGATTCTCTACTCAAGACATGAGTGTATGTGGCTAAAGCGTTCTCGATCAATCTCCGCTGGCTTTAGTGTCAGTGACGCGGTTGAGACAGTAGCGGAAGGAACTCCTGTAGTCCTGCTTTTCCTTTCATAGTTGGAGGAACAAGCCTGACTCGAAGTTAGATAGTTTCTAGGCACATTCTTTTACCAAATAATCAATAATCGTCGTTCGTCCTACGCATACAATCTCTCAATAGCGGATCCAGGATTTAATTTTTTTTGGGGGGGGGGGCTCCAGCCCGGAAACTTTTTTTTTCTCATAAAAATGACGATAATTACTTTTAAAAAAAAGAAAGAAGCTAACTAACTGTATGAAATGGTGTTTAAGTGATTCATGAAGTCCTTTTAAATGTAATTACATGAACAATAATACATTAAGAGGTAATTTTTTAATATATTTTTCCATAAAACATGGTTATATTTTAATTCAACCTAACCTAATAACCAATTCAACCTCCTACAATTCAAATCATCTATCCACATCCTCTCCACAAGATCGCGTTCTTCTGACCTTAACACCCCTTTTCACAGATCTGCCTCATTTAAACATTCCTTTGTTGTCCGTTCTACTGCATTCTGGAATTCCATTCCAATAAAAATCTGCCATGCATCATCCTTATCCACATTTAAAATCCTCTTACTCCAATTCTTCTTCACAATTCAATCAGACGCTGGCTAAATATATATTATGTAATAAGGCTTTAATTTTATTTATACATTATTTTCTTTCTCTCATTTTTTATTCTGTGTTGAACATGAATTTTCATCACCATTCAAAATGCATTGTGAGTAGGTAAAATTTGTTTTTCTTAACTTCTACTTTTCCTATTCATGAGATTGTATTTCTTTGAAGTGAATTTTATTTTCAACTTCTCTTTGACACACTCCTCTCTATAGGTGTATGTATGTATGTGTACTTGATCTTATTATTTTCTTCTCCTAATCTTTAGTTGTATTTACTTATCTCTTTATCTTAGGGAACATATGTAAATATTTTTTTTACAATTTATTTGTTTATATATCAATAGTTGGTTGTGCCAAAGAATGGTTTGAATTTCTCGCGTTACGGCGAGTGGTGGGGGCAGATCTAAAAGATAAAAGATAACACTTAAGCCTCGAGAGCTCCTGGTTGCCTCGGCCCACTTCTTCATTGGCAGTCACCCAGATGCACCGGAGGGCCCTCCAGGAAACCAAAAGATATAAGCTGGCATAAAGACGGTAAGCTATTTTTTGCACAATCATTATAACCTACCAATCCATTAAGATACAGTCCACTGCTTAAAATTAGAATGTTGCCCAAAAATTTTGAATATTGCCTTATTGAAACTCATGAGAGTTATTTGCGATAATTAGAAAAGTTGCCTAAACAACAGTTATTTTTTAAAAATTTTATGTTCCGTCACTACAATGCTTTGCTTATAAAATTTATTTAGTGTTCCTTTATAATTTCATTTAGTGATTATTATGTTATTGTTTTAGCTCCAATATTGTAGCACTGCAACCCTTTTATTCTACTTAATTACTCGCTATTATACTATTATACTTATTTAATTACTCGTATTTTAGTTATTCTACATTGTAATAGGTCTTTTGGCCAGATTTATTGTTAATTTATATGAAGAATACTGTTATTTTTAAGGGACCTAGTCTCAGAATAAAAATGATTTTCCATTCTATTCTGTTCTATGTGTTTTGCTTCTTTTAATTTCCTTATTTTTAAATTATTTTATTTCATTTATTGTATATAATGGTTGTTATTTAGTTCTTCTTTTGCTTCTGTTTATTATATATTTTTTCGTAAATATAGTGTAAATGCGATCTTACCTCACTATAACCAATGTCCAAGTGACAGAATGTTGTAATATTCAATAAATAAATACAAGACAAAAAAAACAAAAAAAAAACAATTATTTTGGGGACTAAGAATACCACGTACAGTCCCAGAATATTACAAAACGATGATCTTCGATGTCTTCGGAGAGGGCCCTCAATCATTCTATGGCGATAACATTTATATTGGTGGACCATCAAAGGAGTCCCAAAAAATCAAGGAAAAAAAAAACGAAAACCAAACAATTATTTTTGTGACTAAACTTGTAAGTGTACTAGATAAATTCAAAACAATAATCTTTGATGCTCCAAAAAGGGCCCTCAATCATACAACGATGGAAAAAAAAATTATTTTTGGAACCTAACATACCATATTACCAGAAAAAAATAAAACTATCTCCATCCTATGACCTCTGGCTCGACGATCACCGACTAGCCGACCAGGCCTGTCTGGAGAACATCAGAAACCGCAGACTTCAGTTAAGACTTCCCATCGATTGCATATTGATCAGAGTTACGGATGTCAGCGCGCACACAGTGAGGCTTGCTGAATTCAACCTGCATGCTAGCGTTTCCGGCTCACTACGCACCGCAGCACACCAAGAAGCTCTCCTTCATTTTTGTCGTGAGGAGGCTGTAGAAGTAGATTTGGCCTCTGTTCTGTTTTCTGAAGAGTCCACCTGTAGTCTTTATGCTGCAGACGAACGAGTTCTAGTGTGGAGAAGACAAGTAAGGAATGTAGGCGGGAAGAGTGCAGTTCGGAGGTGGATCGGTTATGGTTTTGGGATGGAATATATTAAGAGTCGCGTACGGACCTCCTTGTGTTCCGTAGGCCGAAGCTTAGTGCACACACGTGCATCACCGACATCCTCGAGGAACATGTGGTACTCCATTTTGGTCTATTTATCGCCCTCCATTTACTTTTTATGCAGGATAATGCTCGGCCGCACACCAAAAATGTACGGCCCTACCTGGGCAAGTTTAGTGTCTGGTCCCTGGAGTGGCCAGCTCACAACCTTCAATCCTATGAAGCATCTTCAGGACCAGCTTAGGACGTCCATCCGTCGACATCAGAACCTGAATCTGACTTCCAAGTACATAAAATGGATCAGATTCAAGATCGGCTGACCACCTTGTTTGTAGTATGCACAGGAGAGTACAGGCCGTTAGTCAAGAAAAGAAAGACAACACTAAGTATTAGAGACTGAGATATCATAAATTAATTAAAAAAGAATTAGATGCGTTTTATTTTTGTTTAAAATAGTGTATATTTGCTTTATTTTATTATTTCATTTTTGCTTCCTCACTACCGAAGGTAGGGAAGCAATGTATTTGTGTGAGAGGTTAAAACAAATTTTGTGTATAAATATAATTTGGTTCGGTGTCTGTCTGTCTGTAGTCAAATCGATGTGACGGGCATATCACCTACTACCGTTCATCCGATTTTCATGAAATTTTCAGGGATTGTGCAGGTTATTGTCTAGATGATCTCATATCAATTTTATTAAATTCTAACCAGCACTTCTGCTTACGCATGCGCAAACGCGTTTATGTATATATGTCAATATTTGAGAAACGGCTCAAAGTTGGATCAATTTGGCTCAAAGTTGGAAAAAAGGTAGGTATTTGTGAAAAAATAATGTAGGGTCAATTTGATTGAATTCTGTCCATTGCTTTCTTTTATATATGCGCAAACCTGTTTTCATTGATACGTCTAAATCTCTAAAACCCTAAGTTCGATCTAGCTCAAACTTGGAGGGAATTGAGGGACCGGTAAACGTAAAAGGAAATATACATTTTATCAAATTCTATCTAATAAAAAAAAAAAAAAAATAATAAATAAAAAAAAAAAAAACCTTCCGGTTTCAGATGAGGAAATATGTTATTTGATATGCCTATAGTTTGAAAACTTGATTCAATTTGACCCAAATTTTGAAAACTATAGAAATTACTTACTATCAATTTCATTGAATTTCATTTAATAATTAAAATTAATTTAAATACTTGTTGTTTGGCTGTGAAATGTGGAAGGCACTGATCATATGGAGTGGGAGTTAGGTTATTCCAATATCGTTATGATGTAAAGGGGACCCTACACGGTCAATCGGAATTGCACTAATGACGTTCCGAATTGTCGTGTAAGGTAGTGAATGAAGTACTGATGGTGGTGCGCTGCGGATTTCCGAACATCCGGAAACCAAAGGTTCATTCACGAGAAGTGGAGGGGGGACTGAGGTAAAAGTAGTGGGGGGCTAACCATACTGCTGGATAGGTTAGGTTACCTAGGCCTCACAACCATTATAAATTTCTGATTTTCATTATATGTAAATAGTTAAATAATTTTTCATATCCCTTGTTTATCATTTTAAACCATCTTCAACTATTTCTTTTAAATAGTCAAGTGGGCAACAAATTAAAAAAAAAAAATGAGAAAACTTCACAATTTACTTTAGGAAAAAAAAAACTTTAACGTTGTGTATATTTATTTATCAGTTCTTTTCCCATTTTCCTCAACAAATTGATTATTTTCGCAATACCTTTCCTTAATTTTTGTAAGTAGTAGACTTATATTTTACTAACTTTTGTCAAAACGATATGAGACTAACCTTACTACTAGATAGGTTAGTTTACCTAGGTCTCGTTATTAAGTAAATAATTTCATAAAAGTAAATAGTTGTTTATATCCCTAGTCTATATTATTATTAACCATTAACGTAGGTCAAGTAGGCAATAAATTGGAGAGAAAAAAAAGTGGAAACTTCACATAAGTAATGATCAGTAATGATTGAACGTGTAAGGGGTCTTCATGATCAAAGCGATAGCGGGCAATCTTCGAACTTCTTGTGACGTTCATTCATGAATTACCGCGTAGGGTCTGCTTAATAAAATTTTAGGTTTTATTCAAAAAGTTAATTTATACTCTGTTGTTTGGTCGTTCCAACCGTTATTGGCATGACATTTATTGCCATTACATAAATTTCGTTTAATTTCCAGTAACTTGAAAGTAATTTTTACTCTGAATTAGTAAAAAAAAAAAAGGTGTCGATTTTCTCCTTAAATATCAAAACTGTGCCAACTTTACTCATATTTTATATTATTATGGATTTTTTGTTATGTCCATTTTGAAACATACCTTACATAGTAGTGAAAACATACCTATTAAGTATATATCACTACTATTAGAGCAAAGTATGTAAAAGTTTTTAATTTTAATTTTTATTCTATTTTTGATATTATGTAGTCTGCAATTGATATAAGTAGTCTAATACTATGCAAAATAACAGAGGGCTATAAAATTATACTAATAAATCATAAAGAAATAATTAGTTTTTGTGCTCTCCTGTGAAACACTTAATTTTTATATTCGTCTTTTGCACTAACAGTAGCGAGATACATATTCAGTATGCACTGGATTTTTTTATTTTTTTATTACGAATTATCAAGTATGCAATCTGCAAGCGCGGAACTTTTTCGTATTTTATTATTTGCTGATAAACAAAACTCGTGGATATCAAACCCATATATATTGAGGGATTACTGAATTTCCGTAAAGATTTTATTCTCATAAGATAATTTTTATACTGTTTAATATAGATACTTTTTAGCAAATGAAAAAGGGTGAGGAATCTATACCGATTTTACTTGGAAGACGTTTTTTAAATGAATTTTCGTTGTTTTTCTCCTTTATTTGTTGGTTCTAGAAGCAATATATTAAGGTTAAAAAATTGCTATTTTTTCTATTGGGAAAGAAATAACGACAACATTTAAGCAGACCCTACACGTTAATTCATGAATGAACGTCACAAGAAGTTCCAAGATTGCCCGCTATCGCTTTGATCATGGAGAACCTTACACGTTCAATCATTACTGATCATTACTTATCGTTGCTGATTTAGGTTAGATCGTTGCTGATACCAATTTAGGTCAGTTGTAAACAAAGAAACAGCTTAGATATGCTTATTTGGACATTGTCATTTATGATATTGGGCATCAAGAGAAAAACGGTGATATAATAATTACTTCCTAGTGCCTGAAAATCGTTTAGACCAAAGTTAGAATAATATAAGTCAACTACATACAAAAATCTAGGAAAAGTATTGCGAAAATAATCAATTTGTTAAGAAAAATGGATAAATTAATGGCAAATAAACACAACAGTTAAAGATTTGTTTTCTATAAGTAAATTGTGAAGTTTCCACTTTTTTTTCTCTCCAATTTATTGCCTACTTGACTATTTAAAGAAAAAATAGTTGAAAATGGTTAATAATAATATAGACTAGGGATATAAACAACTATTTACTTTTATGAAATTATTTACTTAATAACGAGACCTAGGTAAACTAACCTATCTAGTAGTAAGGTTAGTCTCATAGAAAATCGTTTTGACA